ATTTTTCAAGTATAACCCAATTGACCCGAATATGCTTAATTAATATGCGCAAAAAATATACTTTAGGTACTGTGAATTTTTTGCAAAAAGTTAAACAAATATGACGGTTTTAAATACTTAAACCACTCGTTATAAATGGGTGCTACAAACAAGTCTTATGCGTAGACATAGGTACTTGAGAGAAAATTTATTCATACATTGCCAGGCTGATTTTACTGGATCGAAGATTGTATTGTAAGCCGCCTCCTGTTTTAGATGCTTTGAACATAGAAAAAGTAGTAACAGTAAATAATACAGGTAAATATGTGTTTTCTTTTATGTATTTTATAAGATTTCATTACTAATTTTACAAAGAAATTTTCTATTTCAGTCACAAGCGTATTGATGAAGAAAGAAGTGGATATCGAAGCCGAGCTGATAGATAGATTGAGGTTATATTGAAGAGACGATGGTTCATAGCTATGCTAGAATCCGATTGGTGCTGCTGTAGTCGGTATTAACAAATTCTATATTCATGGAGCACAATGACTCATATTTACAATTTAAATTGGTTTAGAGCCAAAAAAGAAAATCACAAGTCGCACTGTGGTCGAGTTATTATAATTTTCATATTTACACTGTCAACAATTTACGGATTGAACCTATTATTAACAAGTCTTTGAGAAAAGTTTGATCCTGAATTTTAACTTTAAACACTTATGATGATGGTAGAGCCAAATTAATGCGAGCAAAGCCGAGGGAAAAGCTTGTTGATTGATAAATCTTCTATAAAAAAGTCAGTGCCTAAAGTATACCTTTGGCGCATATTAATAAAAAAACATATTCGGGCCAGTCGGGCAATTTTTATTTGTGGATTTAATAGATGCTAAAATAAAAAAATAAAATTACAAGGTTCCCGAAAGATATTTCTTGGGATTGATGTTTGCTAATATCATATGCTTAGCTGTAGCGAAATTACCACAAACGTCCTTTTAGAGTCAATTGCGTATCACTAACATCGATATAGTACTATTTTTATAATTTCAAATTGCTTGAAATAGCTTCCACAAATTCGTCATCAGCTCTTGGACTAACATTTTAACATTAAAAAATGATAAACATTTAAGATAAAAAATGCAAATAAATAATTAGCGTCTGCCTAGTTAGGCAAAATAAAGAGGCGTTTATATAATCTACATAATATAAAACATGCTTTATTTGTTTCTCTTATATCTATAATTTACATTTCTTAGTGCTAATCACGATAAAACTGGAATAAAACTACTATACTACATTTGCTGGCTGCTCATACGTAACACACTGCTTCAACGTAAATACATTAGCAAGAGAAGACATGTATTGCAAGGTTAAACTTATATTTGGAGACACTTTTGGGTCATGTAGTAGCATTAAGATCAACAACTGGGTACAAAGTGGAACCATTATATATACAAAAAGGATGGGGTTTTTCTTACATTATAAAATCAGGTGTTGAACACAACATGTCCAGAGCTAACATGAGCATGCAAGAACAGTTATGAAAGACCCAAAATATATGATATAATGATTTACAATATAAATATTTAAAAGAAAAATATGAACTCTGGACACCTATGTTAAATAAATTCATAATACTTAAAGTAAATTGACAACTTAATTCTATACAGGTATACATCTACATAATAAGAAAATTTGGTACATGTTCGTTGCTCTTTTTATTAACATTACATGAAAAATATAGTTGCGTCGTGGTCATAGTGAGCAACTAAGTATTTGGAATGCATTCTGAAATAGCAAATTGCAAGCAATTTCTCAGCCGCTATACTGTTCACGAAAAACTAGAAAAGTAAAATTGCTAATTAAGAAAATAAAAATTTTAAATGTTCCATTATTATCTAATGCATGAACCAACCTAAAACAAATATAACGACAGTTTCTATATTAATACAAAATTTGATTACAAAATGGAAGCTATCTGATAATCAAATATTAGAAAAAGTTGGCACTACATTTGCAGGTCACATATTATATGAAATTACAAATCTGTACTCCCTTAAAGTTATGTATAAGTCTAAATGTTAAAGTTTCTCTAGTCTGATGGAAACTCAATGTCCTTCTAAATGTTATTTAAGGAAAATACTTTATGGGTAAAACAGTATATTTGTCACAATTTAGAATGACACTCTGTATACACTATCCAATACAAGCATAGACTAGTAGACATGCGTCAATCATGAATGATTCGTTCATTTGACCTGTGTCAATCCGTTCCGGATCAAACGATTGACAGGACCTACGTAGGACGTAAGAGTATAGTAATGTCCGACATTATCGAGCGGGTCTCACTGATCACAGAGTACTGAAACTCGAAATGATCCATTTAAATGATCGACCCGAATGATTCGGTTCGTTAGACGAATAAATACTTGAATGATCGGGTCACCAGAAATGAATGAATGACACATGTCTATAGACTAGCAACATCATAATAACATATAAAGTATTCCATCGTTTACAAGCATTGTAACATACTAAGTAAAAATATATTAAAATGTCAAAACAGGATCTCACAACCGCTAATGAAAAGAGATTTTTCCCATGATGTAAACCAAAATTTCAACAAGCAAAGCACCATACATTAACATTGTGCTTAGGTGGGTATAGATTCAAGACATAAACAGCTACATGATATTATAAGAGATGAATCACGTAATTGACTTTTAATAAGTCTTAATACATATTACAAACACCCCATCAGCCAACATTTGAACATAAATGCCACATAAAATACATTATACGCCAACACTTATATTCATACTTTATAAAAAGAGAAGAGTAGACATTTTAATATTACTACTTCTATTTCTCGCGACTATGTTTTATCGTCATATTTTTGGTTTTCTATGAAATGTAACGCTATATTCATTCAATTACTTCATCCACTAAACCATTAATAAGCCTAGTCAATAAACCACTGCTTGATTAATAAATATTAATACCATGTTGGTAGACCCAAACTGATTATGTGAATATGTATAAATTATATTATAATATATTATTCCATGCACTGCACCATTAAACACATGCACACACAATTTAATTCACATTCTGTGTATGTGAAAGATACACAGTCTATGTTATACAGACTATCACAATTCTCTGTGCATGGAATAGGGTATTGGGAGCTAAATTCACTATACAAGTGTTTCATACTTGTCTAGGACTTGGCATTGATTGTTATCGTCCCCATGTGAGCGGGAACGAGGACGGGGATTTGTTTCGGCGCCAGCACTTTTAGCTCGAGTCTTCTTATCATGCCCACATGTACATGCCACTGATGACTGACGTTTTAACGTCTGTGATCTTGTTCCAGCCCACTGTGGATCTAAAGATTCACTTCTGGCATACATTTGTCGTTTATTCCGACCCATTGTTGCATGCGAAAACGAAACACTCTGTCCACTGTCTGATGAAGGACGCATTGATTCACTCCTCATACACAAGTTACCTCCAGCTCTACGGAATGAATCTAGCACTCTTTCTTCGATTTCTTCAATATCTTTTTTTTTCACCAACCAGATTTCTTCTGAGCCCCTAGTGAAATAGCTGGATCCTTTACTCACAGCATACTTCTCCTTATTTTTAAGCTTACATGTCTTAAAATTATTCTGAGTATTTACATCTTCATTAATTTTATGAATATCTCTGCCTGTACGAACTGTATCAGGAGATGCGACATTGCGAAAAGCTGTACAATGCGATGGGAACTGATCTGCGATTTTAGCGCCGAGACTAGGTGAGCGAATCGTTACGTCGACAGGTGACGGCATTGGCTTAAACTCTGGTTTTATTATCTTTTGCGGCTCCGGTTTCTGAATGATTTTTTCACCCTCCAACGAGTTGCTTTCGCTCCTTTGCCATTTTAGTAAATTAATGGAATTCTTTGTTAGACTCTGCTGGCGTTCAAGTGTTGCATGATTTCCGTGATGCTCTATTGTATTTTTATCACTGTGAGCACTTGATTCGAAGAACACATTGTCTTTGAAAGGTGTGGCTGGTGGTGGAAACTCTTCTTTGCTATCAGAGCCCAATCTATCAGTTCGAGATTTTCCGCGAACCGATCCGGGACGAGACAATTTACCAACAGCACTAGCATCCTCCGCAACCTTTTCAAACTTTCTTATTTTATCCCCAACACCATTCGACTCTTCTAGTTTTCCTGCATTGTCTTTATTTTCGACATTAGGCTTCTCCAAATTTGAATTCTCATTTACATTATTTTTTACAACTTCATTATTACCAGAGGCTAGAGATAGTTTTTCTGTTTTAACTGTTATTTCTTTGACAGATAATATAGAATCTTTTCCAACAATTTTTGATGGAATGGTATTATTTTCTAATTTTGAGTCCATATTATTTAATTTAAATGCAGGAGGTGACGTGACCATCTTTGGTGGCGAAGAATTTCCTTTCTTTAATATTGGAGTTACTTCATTGACTGAAGTTGGCAAAGAAGTGTTTAAATGTGATGCCTCTTTGTTTACAACTGGTGTTTCATTTATTTTTTTAAACTGTGGAGAAGTTATCTCCTTTTTCAAGGGTGGCGTTGAACAATCTTTCAATTGCGTATCAGTATTTATTGGCGGAGGAATATTCCTTTTAGGCGGCGATACACTTTTCGGTGGCGAAACACTCTTCAATTTGGAAGGTACTTGGTTAATTTCTGTTTTCGATGTCTGTTCTTTAGTGGGAGGTGAAACCACCCGTTTCAAGGGCTCCTTCGCCTTTTGTGCCTCAATATCGCGACTCAAGAACGACGAGTTTCGTACATAACACTCGTCCACTTTCGGCTCGTTATCAATTCGCGCCTGCTCGCGCGCCGTGTTCTGTTCGTTCTCTTTTATTTTGATAGGAACGGCTTCACCGGGATCAGGTGGAGGGGGATCAGGGAGCTGGGGGTCGGGGGGCTGGGGGGGCTGGCGGGTGGGATCGGGCGGGTCGCGGCGCGGGGAGGCGCGACGTCACGCGCGCGACTCCGTCCACTGGTCGGAGTCGTCGGAGTCAGAGTCAGCGCCGGAGCTCGTGTCGCTCAGTTCCACGGCCACTCGACGGGCGAGAATCGAAGCCACATCGAGGAAGGCGGGCGCGCCACGAAGCGTGTCGTAGCGCCCAGTGTTTTCGTCGCAACGCTTCTCCACTTTGCGCAGTTTTATCCCTGAAACAACAGAATAAAGTTAAAAATCTGAGCAGAACATAATGTCAAACCACACAACTATTTAAAAATTCAATATGGTAAATAATTCATACCTTATATTAGAAATACTAATGCGTGCGATGGTGATGACATACATATACTTAGATGTGAGAGCTGACCTGTCAGCCCATCACTACTGCCTGTATGAGGAAGTTTAAGTTCACTTTTTGATACAGGTGGCTTAGGATCGTGTTTAGTAGTATTTTTGGGGATCCTATGTTTAGCAGTGGACTTGTGAAGGGCTGTAAGGCTCGGTTTACACCGAAGTAATAACATGCGACATTACATGCCATAGGACCGCATGCTACATGTATTAAATATAGAAATAGACTACAAGATGCGGCCTTATGGTCACAAATGTTTCCATTTGTTACACCAGAAGATGCCACAAAACGAGTATGTAGAATGCCACAATATTGATGATGTTGTTGCTTTGGTGTTAATAATGTTAATGTTTGATGTATTTATTTATAGATTCTAAGGAGTCTGTTGCCAAATAAAACTGCAAGCACTGCTGTATTCTAGTCCAGAAGGATATAAAGAGTCAATATAATAACAGGCTGTGAGACATTCCTTACAGGGGCATAGGGACTGCCGTATGAGCCGTATAAATGATACGGGGCCCCCGAGCTACAGAGGCCCCGAACATATGTAAGCAATAATTCTAAGGACTTCTATGGGACAGGTTTGAATTGTTTGGCTAGCTTAGTTCCTAGGAGTATTAATTATAAGTAATAACTTATAATCAATATATAATTATTTTAATTCAATGCGAGTTTTTGTTCCTTTTGTGAAAAATCTTTACCCTTAATTTGGGCCCCCCGACAAATTTTGATACAGGGCCCCTCTAAGGCACGCTACTCCATTGATTCCTTAGTACTCATTACATCTGTATCCTTCTATGTTTGAAGTTGGCTGCTTAAAATGAAAATCTCATGCTCATGACTCGCGCCGTTTATTCAACCATTGAAGTAATATGTACTATAGTTTGGCCGTTCAGAGAATGCGTTCCTGACACGTCGCGATTGAACTGACGACGTAACTTTGTAATGGCGTTGCAGTTACGATAAAAATATTTTTGCTGGTTGTTTACCGTTTTAACAATTGATGAGTATTAAAACAACATTATTATATCAATAATCAATGAATGTTATAATTTTGTGCCAAACTGAGTGTCAAATAACTTGGTAAACAATATTTTTCTAAATCTATACTGCGCTATTACAAGGTTATGTCAGCGCTTTATATTTGTAGTGCTGTGCTAACAATAACAGGCAATAACAGTATCGTAATCTGTTCTTATACAGTTATACTTTATAAAATAATTCGTTTTGTTTTTCTTTTTAAGAATTTGAAAATAATGGACTATAAGATAACTTTTATTAAATATAAAAATAAAACTACGACCAAACCGAGCGCGCGAAAGAAAGTAGCATTTTTATATTTAGGTTGAAAATGGTAACCCCAAATGGCGTTATGGGCCGCCATTTTGTGACGCTAAAACAGTCGTCTGTTGTCGTTTCGTGCACATAGACCACGTTCTTCAAGTGTTTTCGATCTGTTTTTATTTGATTACCCGGCTTTCGTTTAATGGACTGTTACTGATTTTCAAACTGACATCGGCGCTAAATCGGATTTCGATTGTGTTTTGTATTGCGTTCTTTTTACTTTTGGTGCATAATAATGCCTAAACGTGGACAAACATTGAAAAGTGGAGCCCGTGAGTTAATCATCAAGCTGCAAGATTACTTTGATCGGTAGCGGCAAAATGGCGGATCCCTGTTACTTGTCGAACAAGTCACCCGTGACAGATATTGACACCTTTGACGCCGATGCAATCAGAAATCATATATATGGTTACTATTCCAGAAATGAATATCTCAACAGGAAGAAGCTTTTGGCATCGTTAAGAGAAGCTGGATTGTTTAGCGGGGGTAAAACTGCTTTAACCAAAATCTTAAAAGATATTGGTTTTTCGTATAAAAAAACAGACAAAAGAAAAATTTTATTAGAACGATACGACATAATTTTAAAACGGATAAGTTTTTTGAGAGAAGTAAAAAATATTGATAACTGGGATAATGTCGTGTTCGTTGACGAGACATGGCTAAACGCCAATCACACGGTTTCCCGTTCTTGGACGGATGATACACAAGCGTCGACGTCGAAAGTACCAATGGGTAAGGGGGCCCGTCTGATAATATGCCACGCAGGTTCTGCAAAATACGGCTTTGTGGAGAAAGCGTTACTGGCATTTCAATCAAAAACCACAAATGACTACCAAGAGGAAATGAATGCCACTACATTTAAAGAGTGGTTCCAGAACGTGCTTTTGCCCAGCCTACCAGAGCCTTCTGTAATATTCATGGATAATGCCTCCTATCACTCGGTTCAAATACAGAAACCACCTACCCAAGCTAATAAAAAAGAAGAAATGGTGGCTTGGTTACAAGCACAAGGCATTGATGCAAATGCTAAAACCAGAGCTAATTAAATTAGTTAAAGAAAATAAAGCGGCAAATGTGCGATACGAAATCGATGAACTGGCTCTGGAGTACGGTCATCGCGTTCTAAGAATTCCACCGTATCATTGCCAATATAACGCGATTGAGCTAATCTGGGCTCAAATAAAAGGTTACGTCGCCCGCCACAATACTTCCCCGCCATTCAGCACGAAAAAGATGATGACCCTATTAAAAGAAGCCTGCGGGGAAGTCACAAGAGATGACTGGGCAAAGGTTGTTGAGAAGACTAAAAACCTGATTGTGGAACATTTTGACCGAGATATCAGGATTGATTCTGTTATTGATAATAATATAATTATACATGTAGGCAAAGATGATGATGAAGACACCACCTCCTCAAGCGAATCGGAGTCTGATTAATATTCTGTACGCACATTCAATTCAATGTACTTTATTGCATAGAAATACAGATTGTAACTTTGTAACAAAGAATAAATAAAACAATTTTATTTATTATATTAAATATTAATATTACCTTTTTTTGCTTTCCACTTAAATTACTAAAATATAAATTTTAAATGATTCCGCCAATTTAAAACGAAAATATATAATAGGTGTCAGGAACGCATTCTCTGAACGGCCGACCTATATGAACAGACACAATCTGTGCGGCAGTGCGGCAGTGCGGAGTGCGTGGTAGAAGGCACAGAGTAACCTATTTATGACACAGACTAAGTAAGTTTGAGCCCGTGTTGGGTTGGATTAAGTAAGTTTGAGCTCGTTTGGAATGTGTTGCTAATAAGTAATTTTTTATAGCATAAGGGTGACAAGCAGTCTACCTGGTGGTATGTGGTTGTTGTGGCACATAGACCACTACATTTATTCTCGATAAAGAATTACAATGTAAATGCGGTGTCACCTCTGAGGACTAAGATGGAATGCCTCGTCTCGTTTGAAGTGAAAGGGGTCACCAGTTCTTTACACTCACCATACGAAATAGCAGCTATAAGTTCTATTTTACGCTGGTATTCTGTGAGAGCGTGGTTCTTCCCCGGTTGAGCCGAACCATTCGTGTTACTATCACAGTATGGCTGCAGTGTGGCATAAAATATACTACACGCAAGTTTCGGCGTCCCTTTCAGTATGTGGTACATATTACTTCAATGTTTAAAATGAAAGTAAGACATTGTGTGGCTGGTACCACTCTCTCAGAGAATACCAGCGTAAAATAGCATCTTAATGTTGATGTGTTTCGTAAGGTGAGTGTAGGGAACAGGGGACCCTTTTTACTGGAAATGGGGCATTCCATCCTTTTCCTCAGAGGTAACAACGCATCTGAATTTTGGTTCTTAAACGAGGATAAATGTCACCCTTGTTCTAAAGATAATATATTTAATATAATAAAGTAAAGCTGTTGGTCCTGCACTTGATCTCTCTACGGTCGTATCGGTTTACCGTCCCATTGGACTACGAGGGTGTTGGAATAGAGAGTGCACCTGTGCTTGCGTATACACTTGGGCACTATTATCGTGTTCTGTGCCGACGGACGTGACCGAAATTCGATGTGGAGGACATTATTATTAAAAAGAAAAAAAAAAGGGTACCGTCGCGGATGGCCTTGAGCAGGTCGGAGCGCGGGTCGTGCTGCGGCTCGGCGGCGGGGCGCGGCGGCTTGAGCGCGGACGCGCCGCGTGCCAGCGCGCCGGGAGAGGGCGCGCGCGGCCGCTCCCCGCCCCCTCCCGCGGCCAGCTCGGCCGCCCCGCCCGCACCCACAGCGGCGGGCGCGGGCGGCGGCGCGGGCGCGGCCGCGGAGCTGGGCGCGGGCGGCGCTAGCGGCGGCGGCGGCGGCTGCGCGCACTCCTCCGTCGACATCATACCTGCACACACACACACACGCACACATTATACACTTCGTCTATTCGTTTTTTTACCACGTTTCTAATCGACTTCAAAAAGGACGTACTCAATTCCACTGTATAACTATTCTAGGTGAACCGATTTTAATGATTCTATTTTTTATTTGATAACTTTTGCTTCTCGTGTGTTCCCATATAAATTTGATCAAGGTCTCTGACCAGTAATTTTTGAGTTATCGTTAAGAGCCCTCTTACATTTCGGCGTTTAGCAAATTTAGGTATTTTACGCACTGAGCGGGCGACGAGCTACGCGACCGATACTTTCTTTCATATCTATTCACTCCCTCGCACTATAATACTGTGAGTATGGCGATTAAACGATCTTGATCTTCCATAATACAAAGTTTTCTTAGGATGGACTTCAGTGGATGGAATATTTTTTGGTGTGTAATTTTAATGTTATCTTATTAATTTATTATTATATAATTTATTATTTATTATTATATACCATTTTAATATATTATTCATTATTTATGAAATTTAGTGTCAAAATAAATACACATAAATATTTTAATTGTTACGCCGTAATCGAATGTTAATAATCGATTATGTCTACTACCGGTGTATATAATAGTGGTATAAATAATTTTTTTTTTATAGGAGAGGGGGCAAACGAGCATGCGGCTCACCTGATGGTAAGTGACTACCGCCGCCCATGAACAACTGCAACACCAGGGAGGGAATTGCAGATGCGTTGCCGGCCTTTTAAAAAGGACTACGCTCTTTTCTTGAAGGTTCCTAAGTCGTATCGGTCCGGAAAAATCGCTGATGGTAATCGATTCCACAAGGAAGTCGTGCGAGGAAGAAAACATCTTCTAAATCGCACAGTGGTGGACCGCCAATCATCCAGATGGTGTGGATGGTATCGGGAGTTCTGCCGCGATGTGCGTTCGTGAAATTTGGCGGCTGGGATTAATCCGAACAATTCCTCAGAGCACTCCCTGGTAGATGCGAAAGAAAATGCAAAGGGATGCAACATCTCTTCGCAGTGCCAATGAATCGAGCCGATCGGAAAGGGCTCGGTCGTCGACGATTCGAGCCGCTCTGCGTTGGATGCGGTCACGTGGAAGAAGCTGGCACTGGGGAGCCCCTGCCCAGAGATGAACAGTATTCCATGTGAGGCCGAATCTACGCCTTGTAAAGTTGCAGGCGGTGTGCCGGCATGAAATACTATCCCGCTCTGCTGAGCACGCCAAGCTTTTTAGAGGCCAATTTGGCCTTCTCTTCCAAGTGACCACGAAACTGCACGTCACTCGATATGTCGACTCCAAGGATACCGATACTGGCTGAGGCAAGAAGGGAAATGCCTTGAAACTGAGGAGATACGACAAAGGGGTTCTTTTTAGCGGTAAACGCGCAAACTTGTGTCTTCTGAGGATTAAACTGGACTAGATTTAGTCGCCCCCAATCCGAGACTTTGTTCAGCAAAGACTCGACTTCAGACACAAGTTTGTTCCAGTACTCGGCGACGTTTTCCCGAGAAATATTGGCACGGCCGGTGTATAGAGCATCACCAGTGCTGTCATCCGCATAGCAATGAATGTTACCAGTCAGCAACATATCATTGATATGCAGAAGAAACAGCGTTGGTGATAGCACACAGCCTTGTGGAACACCAGCGTTAATAGGCTTGTAGTCAGAGCATGCACCGTCTACAATGACCTTGATGCTTCGATCTGCAAGGAAGCTGGTGATCCAATCGGACAATTTCTCGGGAAGCCCATAGGAAGGGAGCTTCGAAAGAAGCGCTTTGTGCCAAACCCGATCGAAGGCCTTCGCAATGTCCAGACTAACGGTCAACACCTCCCCCTTGGACTCTACTGCCTCCGCCCATCTATGGGTCAGGTAGACCAGAAGATCACCAGCTGATCGACCCCGACGAAAACCGTATTGGCGGTCACTAATCAGCTGGTGATCCTCAAGGTACCGGATGAGCTGGCAGTTAATAATGGATTCCATTATTTTGGAGAACAAGGAGGTGATCGCGATAGGCCTATAGTTGGATGGGTCTAAGCGGTCGCCTTTTTTAGGGATCTGGTGGACAAAAGCAGTCTTCCATGAATTCGAGACTACGCCTTGGGAATAGGAGTAACGGAAAAGATGCGTTAGGACCGGTGCCAACTCCGGAGCACACGTCCTCAGTACAATTGGGGGGATTCCGTCAGGCCCACTCGACTTCTGGATGTCCAGGGAGAGCAGTGCTTTGCGAACCGAGCGCTGTGAGAACAGCACATCCGGCATGGAGCACTCACACCGCGGGATGGTCGGCGGTGTTTTCCCCACGTCATCAAGAGTCGAGTTAAATAAACGGTTGCAACCTGTTTTAATAAATATAACAACCAAATGTAACTAATATTTTTTTAATCGGTACTTACAGTCAATTACCATATTTTTTATTAGAAAAATATTTGCTGCGACGGCATTGACCGAACTTTTCTAGAGTCGATAATTTCAGGCAGTACACATTTTTCATAAAAAGCTTGAACTTGAAAATCTAAAATTGGTCGTCTTTGTAATTTTTTAGTACTTTTACTGCATAATCTGGGCCAATACATATTATGGCAGGTATTCAGAAATTTTTATTTGCTAAATGAAGCTGGCCTTGGATTTTGTAAAACCAGTCATTATTTTGATTTAATGTTACACTTGAATCACTGAAATTATAACTAAAGGTTATAAATTCAGTGATTCAAGTATACTTTTTTTTTGTCGAAAGGCCGTGTCAAAATCTATTCCGAAAGCTGAAATAGGGCATTTAACTTCAATAAGACCGTAGCTGTATAAACCATTAGATGAAGCCCACAAATAACAATGATCTAGGTCAATGAATAGACCACATTTTTCTATAATAATATTTTCTTGTTTGCTCAATTGTGCCAATGCTACAGACTCGTTGTCCCTACCATGTTTAATGAAAGAGACGTAATCTAAATTATAACTATATAAAATAGTTTTAAACCGATTGATCAAAAATTGCGGTCGTAGTTGACGATGCTCTAGTATGCAGGCAATCGACGCACACTACGGTAGTATCGAAACGATGCAGCGCCCGAAATCAACTGACGTAGGTCCACCCTCGGCAGATCGCAGATGGCCGACGCAGTGAAATATATAGTACTTTTATTTAATTAATTAAAATATAATAGTAACGATATAATAAGTAAAAATAATAGTATAGTTTAAGCAAATGTTGATGATTATTTTGGTATAAATTTTACGTCTAAATGATGTAGAACTTCGGAAATATAGAGGCTTGTATCGAAGCTTTTTTGGTTGTTTTTGAATTATGTCGATTTTTTTCCTAGCGTGAAAAGCATATAACGAAAATGTATTCAATTATTATTAAAGTGTAGGATATTTGGGAGATAAAAATATTTTTTTTTGATGGTCGATATTCAATATAATCTACAAATTAGAGCTCCCAAATCGTGTCTTCGAGAGTTTTTGCCTAAACATGCATCGGGAGAATGATTATTACTGATTAAATAAATAAGTTATCTAAAATCCGCTCTGAGCTTATTTGAGGAGAGAAAACGAACTATTTTTACCAAGTAATTGTTATTTCAAGCAACGAACGATAAACATACAATTTCAACGAGGAAACCTTGTAATTTCGCGTTTTTTTGTAATACGCCTCTTAATAATTTATATTGAAGTCGGTTGTACAAAATTTTTAATTTCACCACTTGCGTGTTTAGCTATTTCGTATTCAGGTCAAATTTATTAATTGATTTTAAACTAACTTCCCGATGGAAGTGAAAACTTAAAATTTCGAACATAGCTCAGAATGGAATTGAAAAAACACATACATATTTTTTTTTTTAAATTTACTTGTTTACTATATAAGTTTAAAACAGGAGATGGGCAGCAGCAACTTCATAATAACAACTCAAAATAATAATAAAAACTGCAGTTTCCAATGCCAACTCAGCAAAATCCCCATAAAGCATAAGGCTAATCTATGAGGGAGACTTATGTTCAGAGTGGACTTTTATAGACTGTAATGGATGAATAGATAAATAAATTATATAAATGGAAGCATGCTTCAAAAAATCACAAAATATAAAATAATTTTCACATAACACCTCTAGAAATGTTCACATAAAACCTCTTGAAATCATATTTTACGTGGTAAAGTTACGCTGCTATAAAAATACGTGACTCTTATAGTGGCGATATAAAAATATCCACTACCCCATACTAAAAAGTAACATAGGGATATAGAAATGGGAGTGGACAAAAACATCTTGAAACAACCATAAAACTGTTCATTGCAATTAAGTACGAATTAAAACCCTTGCTTGTACAAAAAATATGTACTACCCGTGCGGTTAAAAAATGGAATTGAAAATGGCGTCGCCTCTACTCACCTTTCGGTTGCACATTGTCACTATCTATGCTCACACCCGCCAGTAAAGACCAGAAAAAATACGTTGCGATATGCGTTTTTCGTACGTTCTCTAATTTCAGTCCAACTTGTCATTGGAATAAATGATAATAAAATTCCATAAACTATTAAAAATTCAGTTCGGTTTTGCTCATTTGTGAGCTATTACGCGGAGTTTTATTCATAATTCTTGTTGATTGTGTTTGGTAACATTTTTGTATAAAATGTACTATAATAAAAACTAAATACATAATATTTACATGCCATCGAGACATCAGTAACCGTGTTTGTTTGTCTGTCTGTCCGAACTAATCTTCAGAATGGCTGAACCAAATGTAATAAAATTTCACGATCAAATAGAGAGTAATGCCATGATCTAGACTAAATTTTATCTGAAAAATTTTGAGATTATATTAAAATAGAAATATTGATAAGATAAAATAAATGGACTTTAATGATTATCTTAAGTCTAAATAACGCCACATTATTAGAAACCACCCAGGCGAAGCGTGAGCGGATCGCTAGTTGTAAATTTAATTTAAAATTACAACTAGCCTATTTGCATGTATAGTTTTTTTTTTTTCAAATATTTTCTCATTAATAGAAAATTTCCAATTAACCGAATAATATAACGTTATAACGATATATTGTTATTAGCGGGTTTTCGTTATTGGTTACTGTGCATGTTGACGGTACAGGCTCTATGAGCCGCCATATCTAATCCCATTCTTTATTCGTACGGACTATAAATAACTTGAGTGTTACCAATGACAGCATGCATCTGATCGAGGTGTGCGTCGAGCGCAGTGCGGTGGGGCGGCGAGGCGCCGTTGATCATGGGCGGGGGCGAAGCACCCTCGGGTGGCGGCGGCGGCGGTGGCAACGCTGACCTGGAAATTATAATACTTCTTGTAAATATATATGCTCTCCAGAGCGAATTTGGGTCAGGGCGGCCAGTGTCAATGGACACTAGCCATCTGCGCAGAACAGGATTATAGTGCACAAATGTATGCGCAAGCACAAAAGACAAAGATAGATTTATCACATAACTGTGTACAATATGATCTTAATACAAAAACATAGTTTTAGGGCTGCACAGTCTACCCATGTCGGATATGCAACAAGAAAGAAAATAAATTTAAAATTAACTATGTGCTTACTAACATTACTTTTACTAAAAACTCATTGAGATTGTAAAAAACATTTTCAATTAACAATTTCTTTAATTTTGTTTTAAACATATTTCCATTTAATTGTTAAATAGCTGGTGGTAATTGGTTGTATACACGAATAGCGATAATAAAGGTTATAATTATAATAAATTTTTCGTATTGCATTGTGTTTTTTACAAATAGACATAATTCTAATTCAGTTCTGAAAATATCTCTTAACGATTCAATACTATGCATGTTATATATTGTTCAAAGACATTCTTTTTGGAGAACGAATGTGGATTGTATATCTGTTGAGTTTCTCCAGTATATGACACCGTAAGCTAGGAGTGGATAAACTCTTTCAAATAGGCATTTCTAGTAACACTTACATTTGTAGCCTCTGCCAGGATGGACAGTGCGTAACATGCACTGGATATCTTTTTATTTATTTTTTCAATATCTGCCTTCCAGTTTAGATGTTGGTCTATTTCGACTCCTAGAAAATGTGTGTGCATTACATCTTCGACTGCTATATCATTCACGGTTATATTTAATTTGCCTTATAAACTTTTGTAATTTCTAAATTGTACGAGTTTAGTTTTTGACAGGTTTACTTTTAAATTTATTGACTGCGGCCAATCAGTAACTGTTATCAATGTTTTATTTATTTCATTTTCATAAATAATCATTTGCGTCATTATTAGAAATAAATATAGTTGCATCATCGACATACATTACGTATGGGTAGGTAATTATGTTTAGGAACTCGTTAGTATATAATAATAAAGGGGGCCCCAATATGCTGCCTAGGGATACACCCAGTATTACATTTTCAAATTCAGATTTAACTACCTCGAACATTTTTGTAGATTCATTATCATATATCTCGATAACAGTTGCTTGTATTCTATTATTTAAATAATTTTCTATTAATTTAAGTGCTAATCCTTTTATTTCTATGCCATTATTTAACAGAATGTCATATTTTACACAGTCAAAATGTTTTTGACATCTCAATAAAAAGAGCAGCACATTGTTTTTTATCATTGATTTTATGCCAAATGGTATTAAATAATTTATATATTGCCAAAGATGTAGTTTTATTCTTTTGAAATCCGTGTTGGTACATATTTAGAATATTATTCATTTGCATAAATTTTGAGATTTTGATATATTATATTACTTTTCCAATATTTTCGAAAATCTTGGTAACAGTGCAATTGGTCTATAGTTATTTATGTCGTGCCGCGATCCTTTTTTATATAATGGCTTTATTAGTTTTTTTTTTAAATATTGTGCACTCTATATTCCCTCACTCTCATAGTCCGATGGGATGGCAAATTGACACGACCGGAGAGAGACCAAGCACAGAAGAAACAGCTTTACGTGCTTTCCGAAGCATAGAGATATAACACCAATTACTACCAGACTCCAGGCTGCTACTGAGAATTTATCGGTAGAAAAACTCAATAACTGATTTTTTCACCCCATGATCAGTCACGTTTACGACCATTAGACCAACTAGGTAGTTATTTGTAAACATACAGCTTGTAAGAAGAGAGTGGAGCATAATACTTGATGAAATAGTTGAACATAGCTTAGAACTCAGTGTATTTTCTTGGGAATTGGATTTTTGAACTTCTACCACCGGAACCCCTTGGTTTGTGATCATGATGATCTCCGGCACAAGGTTTTTGTTGCAACCTCAGTTATCCATGTAGGACTTTCTACGTGGTGCGGCAGAGGTTACCTGGTGGGCGTGAGGCTGGCGGGCTCGTCGGGCGGCGAGAGGGGCGCGGGGGGCGCGGGCGGCGGCACGGAGGGGCGCGCGCGCCGCGGCGTGCCCGCCATGCTGCCGCCGTAGATGGGCTCCGCCGTGCCGTACGGACTCTCCTCGCCCATCACTGCAATACAATTAAATACATTTAAATAAACAAATACAAAAACATAACCTAATTACCACGGTGCTGAGCTATTTTTGATCACTACTATTATGTGACATGTAACAAAACATTTTTTTACATGTTGTATAATAATGGATCTACAAGACGTACCATTAACATTTGTGCTAAGACATAAGTAACTTTTTGTTATCCTATTTTACATACAACATTAATCTATAAAGACAATTCAATAATTCATTCATTCATTACAGCTAATCAAAAGTTCTAAAAACATTTGCCATAGCAGCGACTCTCGGCAGGCAGGCTAGTAACCGAAGTTCATTATTATTTTAAGCTGTTGTCATGAAGATGCTGCTGCCCACTTCCTGTTTCAAATTCGCTGTGTTCAGTTTCCTTTTCGAACATCCACGGGATATAGGGTGAAATATGTATTATATATAATATGCATTAGTAAAGAGCTAAAGTGTAGTACGTACAAGACGAAAGTGAGTGATTTTGTGCCATCCAATATAATTTTTTTTTATAGGATCGGGGTGACAAACGAGCACACAGTCCACCTGATGGTAAGTGGTTGCTGCGGCCCATAGACATCTACATCTATCCTCTGTTACAAATCAAAATGTAGATGCGTTGTCACCCGTGAGGACTAAGATGGAATGCCTCATTTCCAGTAAAAAGGGCCTCCGGCCACCTGCACTCACCAAGCGAAACGCAGAGGTAAACCTCTACTTCACGCTGGTTTTCTATGAGGTCGTGGTACTACCCCGGTTCGAGCCGGCCTATCCGTGCGACAGCAAAAGCTGCCGCGTGGCTCTACCACTGTTAAAAAACATTATCTTCTTCACAGTCGACAGGTTTCAGATTAATTCAAACATTTTCACGGTGGCCAAATTCAATCTGGAAATATGCATCAATAAGACTAAATAATCATAGTCTTATCTCACTGTAAATAATCATAGCCTTATCTCAAAGCCATGTCTCACTACAAGAAATAGACCTCTTCTTAATTTAAAAAGGATTTAATAGCAGAAAGAGTCCATCATGATGCTTAAATGCGTATTGACTAACATCACCTCGAAACAAATTAAATTATACCACGGAAGGTCAAAAAGTTCGCGGATTGACAGGGAAGGATAATGAAATGAAACATTAAACAATTTTTCTTTTCAACGTATTCTCCCTTAACCCTAATACAACTTAACTCCGCCATTGCCTGTCCCAAGCTCGGATGAGGGGACGTTTCAAATACCAGTTTCAAACCTGAGGAGCTGGAAAAGAAAAAGGAGCAAGAGCCCGCGAGTAACAAAACTCCTGCGGAGCCTCAAAGAACGGACGACCTTTTCTATGCTGCCTGGCAAGTGGTGAGCCCTATGGGGAAAGACAAGGCACCCAAAAAGGTGACTTGCCGACCTGACGGACCATCAGGAGGGCCTATCCCTACAGGCAGTATAGGAAAGGCCAAAAAGAAGAATAAGAAGCAGCGAGAAAAAGGCCGAAGAGAACGAGCCGCGCTGGCTGCTTCTAAAACTAAAATCAATGAGGCTGGGCAAGCTACTGCGACTGGGGTGCTTGGGGCTGGAACCAGCTCTAAGATATCCGCCAGGAAACAGCGAGCGGCCAAGCGTCCTGGGAAAAAGAAAAGAGCAGCCAAAAGGATGCTGGGAGAGTTCACCTCTCTGAGAGGAGAGCACAAAAAAGTGCGACTGAACAGCAACCAAAGGCTGCAAGAACAAGATACGCTTCCTCTGCTAAAGCAGATTTGGGTGTGGCCTTAACGTGTGCGCGTTCAGGTCACATTATGAAGGAAGTAGCAGACGACATCCTCGTGGCAATACAGAGGAAAATGATCAGCGAGGCCTGGAGTAGCCAGGACTCTGATGCGTTTTTAGAGGCAAACCCGTTTACACGGAGGGTGTCCTGAAACTGTGGTGTGACGATCAGAAGGCTCTCGATTGGTTGAATTGCTACCCTCGACCTTAAATCCAACACCTCGCTGACTATAAAGAAACAGTCGGAGATACCACAAAGAGTCAAATGTGGTATCCTTATCCCTGATGCCCAGCTCACGCGACATTGGTCGTGTGCTGGCGTACCAGAACCGCTGGGTTAACATCAGGGACTGGCTGTTACTCAAGGCAGATAAACAGACGGACGGGTGATTCCTCGTTGTTTCGGTGCCGAGGATCATATTCCGACCCTGATGAAGGCCAGACGCCGTCTCGCATGTGTATGCGGGGCGGTTTACGTAAAATTCCAGGGTCGTGGAGGTAAATTCTTTGACACTCCACCAAGCAGAGACAGTAAATAACCCGGAAGTTATGGATACCGGAGACATGGTTACCGGTACAGCGGAGTCACTGGAGGCCAAGTCCAGTGAAAAAACGGCCTACACAATTGAGCCAAAGCCCCCAGTAGAGATCGGGCTCAGCGGCAGCTCACTGAGTGACGAAGAGGACTGCATTTTGCCGACCACCTCCGACTCGGTGGCTGACGATGAAACCCGAGACCTGCTGGCAGGCTTATTTTTGGGTGGGGACGGAGAGGACGCGATCAATGATGGCGTGCCCTTCGTCCAAAACTAGCCTAGTTAGTGCAGGCCAAGCTCCACCACAGCGAAACTGCGTGGGCTCAATTACGCAAGTGGTTGGAGGTTCAAAGGACGGCCATAGCCTTAATCCAGGAGCCGTGGGTTGGGGCTGGTAAAGTTAAAGGCCTAAACAACCTAAAAGGTAAGCTATTCTACAGCTCTCAACACGGCAAGCCTAGAGCGTGTATTTACACTACTAAAGATGCTGTGCACAACCATTAACAGATTTCTGTTCTAGAGACATGTATGCCGTGGCAATACAATATACACAGGAGAGAAGATTAGTCGTCGCCTCGGTCTTCATGCCGGAGGAAGACACTCCTCCCCCTCATAACCTCGTGAGCCTTGTGAACTTCTGCGAGAGGACCGGACTAGAGGTTGTGATCGGGACGGACTCCAACGCGCATCATCCCCTCTGGGGAATGGAAAAACCGAATGAACGAGGTAAGGCGTTAGTTGAATATTTATTTAGCACTAACCTAACTATTTTAAACACAGGTTCTGAACCAACTTTTATAAACAAACGCTGTCGCACAATAATCGACCTCACACTTGCAACACAAGGAGCAGCTATACTAATTACGGGATGGCATGTGTCGAGAGAGGCCTCATGCTCAGACCATAGATGGATCTGCTTCGCACTACAGGTCGATATCCCCGCTACACCACCATGGAGAAATCCCCGCAAGACGGATAAAACAAAATACCTTAATAGATTGACGTCTTTGGTCGTGGGTTTGAGGGGACAAATACTATAGCAGACAAATCACTCCTAGAAGAACAGGTGGCAGCTGTTACTAAAGCCATGATAGATAGCTACCATGAATCATGTCCAGAAATCACTCCACCAAGGCATGCTGAGGTGGAGGAGGCAAGCAACCGTGGTGGGGTAAAGAACTAGATAGAAAACGTAAGAAGGTAAGAAAAGCCCTAAATAGGGCCATGAATACCTCAATGGAAGAAGACTGGCTACTATACAAGAAAGCTAAGTCCGAATACAAGAAATGTATCAGGTATCGACGCTCGACAGGGTGGCGTAAATTCTGTGGCAACATAGAAACCTGCGAACAAGCGAACAGGATAAGGAATATTCTAGCTAAACAGAACACGTCGGGATCCATCTCCCTAAAGAAACCCGACGGTAGGCACTCAACATCGCCGGATGAAGCCCAACGCATCCTAATTAAAACGCACTTCCCAGGCTGCTGCGTATCTCAGGACGCAAACCGGCATGACGACATACTGACACTAACAGCAAAAGACTGGAATTTAGCACAGAGTGGTAACGATGGACAAAATCCATTGGGCCATTCACAGTTTCCTCCCCTATAAGGCGTCAGGACCTGACGGCATATTCCCGGCACTCCTACAGTGGGGGGGTAAAGCCCTAACAGCCAGACTTGTTGTCATAATGAGAGCCTGTCTGGCTCTTAATTATGTTCCTAGGGGATGGAGGGAAGTGAAAGTCACATTCATACCAAAACCAGGTAAAAGCGACTACACAGACCCTAAATCCTACAGGCCCATTAGCCTCACATCCTTTCTCCTAAAGACAATGGAGAGGATGTGTGAAAGGGAATTAAGAGGGTCGGCGCTAATGAACTTACCGCTACACGCCTACAGTCTAGGCAAATCAACAGAATCGGCACTTCACCAGGTAATAACAAAGATTGAAGAGGCCATCCAAAATAAAGAAATATGTCTAGGTTCCTTCATTGATATAGAAGGTGCTTTTGACAGAACGAACTTCTCCAGCATAAAATGTGCACTCAGTAGACATAAAGTTGAACCGGCACTGATTGACTGGATAGTAAACATGCTCAGTACACGAATAATAAAGATTGCTGGTGAATCTCAACCAATCCAAATTAAGAAAGGCTGCCCGCAGGGTGGGGTTCTCTCCCCTCTCCTGTGGAATATGGTCATTAATGAATTCATCAGCAAATTAAATGCCAATCACTTCTACACAGTAGGTTATGCTGATGACCTGACAATACTGGTCTCTGGAAAGACAACAAGCATAGTGTACGACCTGACCCAAGCGGCTCTCCGTATAGTGGAGAGATGGTGCAGGGAATACGACTTAACCGTTAATCCAAATAAAACGGTTCTAGTAATGTTCACACAAAAACGAATGCTGAATAACTATCATCTCCGAAGTCTTTTCAGTACAAAACTCCAGTTATGAATGAATGAATATACTTTTATTGTACACCACGAACAAATATACAAATGTCATAACAAAATCAGATTATAATATGTACAATTTGGCGGCCTTATCGCTACATAGCGATCTCTTCCAGGCAACCAAAGGTGTAAAGTAATACAAACAGTGAATAGGTAGGTGGTAGGTGGTGCAATATAAAAATACAAATAATAAATGCAAAAAAAAAAGATATAAATAACTAAGTAATACATGAAATAATATAAATGACTAACACATAATAAAAGATAAGGTAACACATATAATATATACATATACATACACATATACATACATACATACATATATACATACACACACATATATAAACATATATACATAAATATACACACAACACGTATATATCAATATATATATATTATATATATATATATATATATATATATATATATATATATATATATATATATACAAAATTCCTCAAACAATAACATAAAGCTGATAGATACAATAAATACATAATCACACAATCTATCCTAACGTTGTCCGAACGATTGAGACATGTAATGCTCTTTAAGTAATCGCTTAAAGATAACAATAGTTTGTGCCTCACGTATATGCAAAGGTAGGGCATTCCAGAGCTTAATAGACTGGACAGTAAAAGATTTATTAAAAAATGATGTATTGTGAGTTGGCACACTTAAAATGAATTTTCTAGAAGAGCGTAAAGGTTCCCCCGGAAGCCCCACAAAATTAAACTTCTCCTTTAGATAGGGAGGATTTAGAAGGGTTATCCTCGGAGGTAAAATATTTAGGTCTTACCTTGAACGGCAAAAACTGGAATAAGCACATAGACAAGAAAATCAACAAAGCTAGTATAACTTTCTGGCAATGCAGAAACATGATTGGCAAAAGATGGGGACTGACGCCAAAAATTATACTGTGGCTGTACAAAACTGTAATTCGGCCCATGATCACATACGGCGCTCTGGTATGGTGGACCCAGACAAATTAAGCCACCACTATAAAGAAGCTTCAGCGCTACCAGAGACTGGCATGTATGGCTGCTACAGGCTGCATAAAGACTACGCCAACAGCAGCCTTAGAAGCGATGCTAGAGCTAACCCCGCTTCATCTACATATACAACAAGAAGCGACTTTAGCTGCTATCAGACTCAAGACCCTAAATATTTGGAGTAAGAATAGAGTCCCTCATACAGGCATAATTGATAGAATTCACTAAAAAATTCCTATCTTACAAGCCAAGTACGATAAGATTCCTAAACAATTTGTATTCATTCAAAAAGAAGTGTAAGATACAATTAAATGAAACCAGCCAGCCGGAAGGATTAAGCCCAAAAGAGCTTAGAGTTTTCACCGATGGTTCTAAAACATATGAAGGTGTAGGTTCTGGAACTTTCTCTGAAGACCTCAATATCCACATATGCACACCGCTGGGTACCTATAACACAGTCTTTCAGGCGGAATGTATGGGTATCATTCAAGCGGCCATAGATGCTAGGAAGTTTAATGACTTCCCCATCAGAATACTTACCGACAGTTGGGCGGTACTACAAGCTCTGAGTTGCAATGTGGTGAACTCGGGACTAATATATGAATGCTATCAACGATTAAATGAGGTATGTAAAAACAACAATGTGACTCTGTAATGGATAAAGGGACACAGTGGATCCAGAGGCAACGACGCAGCAGACGAACTGGCCAGAAGAGGATCGGCTCTGGCCACTATAGGGCCGGAACCAATCATACCAATCCTCTTTGGTAATGTTCGTTCACTGGTACGTAGACACTTCATTAATATACACGCTCAGCTTTGGAAAAATCCAGTAGACTGTAGACAAGCTAGGGAGGCCCTGCCTGAAATAAACAGTTGTTTAACCAAAGTTCTAATGAGACTGAACAAGCCGCAGATCAGGATAGTAACAAGTGCTATCACAGGACACGGCAACTTTAACAAGCATTTATTTACTATAGGTGTTACAGATAGTCCCCTGTGCAAGGCATGTATGGGGGAAGAAAAAACGGCGGCCCATGTGATATTGAAATGTCCGGAGGTCGAAGTTGCATGCAACATCAAAGGACTGTTGAGCTGCTTCGGGGAGATCTCATGGCTTGAATAAGCATATTATTCCTGCCCACACGCAAAATACGCGCATAGACGTGGAGTTGCGGAAATCAGCCCGTCGTAAACTAACTAACTAACCCTAATACATTTACTAGATCTGTCAAATAACTTATTAATACCGTCTAAAAAAATATTTGTCTTGAGCATCAAAATAGGCCGAAATTCACGACTTCACTTCATCATCGTCGCCAAATTAAATTAAAAAAAATTTTGGAAGCAAATAGCCGCTTGGCTGTAGGATGGGTGGCGCAGTTGTTCAAAACCGCAGCGGTGAATGGCAGCCGGCGCAACTCTTGGTGTTCTTAACTCAGGTTCATAATGCTGAATCCAAGTTTCATCGCCAGTTAAAAATTCGGGCCGTAACTTACTCCCTTTGCTCTCCAGAGCGATTCAAAAACTTACAACTTTCAACGCGCTCGTGTTTTTGAAGCGAAGAAAGCTTTCTCGGAAACTCCATCTTGCACAGACTTTAGTCATGCCGAGGTGTTGATGTAGGATGTTTAAAATGGTTGTTTCTGATACTCCAACTAATGCTGCAAGCTGTTTTTTCTTTAGTCGGTCATCTTACGATACAAGTCTTTCAACTTTTTCGATTATTGCTGGCGTGTAGCCCAAATCGGCCGTCCAGGTCGGGGGTCGTCTTCGATGGAGTCCCTCGCTTGTTTGAAAAGGACGTGCCATTTATAAATCATAGTTTTCCCATAGAGTCCCCATAAACAGCTGACATCTCTTGAAAAATGGTTTGAGGTGTCTTTCCTTGTTTGCTGAGAAACTTACTGACGGCGCGATATTCAATTTTCTCCACAGTGGCTAGTTTCTTCCCGATTGACTTGTTTAGTCGTTGATAACTCAAATGCTAATGACCCGATTAGGCTGAAATTTGGTATATATACTAACAATTAGTCACTCAACTAGCGCCTACCTGGATGAGTACTCACCCTAGCCAACCTCGCCATTCTGCGAAGTTTTTGACTTCCCCTTGTATATACATACTTCCTCAGGTAATTTCTTTACCCACCCATCGCGAGATAAGTAATATAATATATAAAAAATATAATAATCAACCTTCATACCTACCATGATTAGAAGGACAAATCTTAGTGATTGCATTTCTTGGCGCAATTTTTGAAAAGCTATATAGCCTATATACAACAATAGCTTTTTATAGGCGGATAAAGAAATGAAGATAGTTCAATTATTTTAATAAAGTCAAGCACAAGCACTCACCATGGCCATTGCCTGTGAGTCGAGGCTGTCTATTATGTTGATTCTCTATCTCTATGGAGTTGGGTCTTGCTGGTTGTGATGTGGGTGGCCGATTTTGAGGCGCTCTGTAACCTCCGTCTGTGACGTTGGTAGCTGAAACGGAAATTAAAATATTACTTCAGAATCAAAATTATTTCGAATGTAACACAGACTGAATCAGAGCAATGCGTTATATATTTAGCATTTTTTTAAAATAAGGGTGATAAACAAAAAACCCAGTTCACCTGATGATAAATGGACCATATATACCTACATACATCGATTAATAATTTAAAATGGAGGTGCATTGTCACCCTTTAAATACTTAGGTATGCTTATTTTTGCTTTTAGTTCTTAGGTAGTAATAAATTATGTTTGTTTGTTTTGACCACAGTTTACCAAATACATTATGAAGTTAATTACAATAACAATATTTTCAGTATTTGTTGTTACAAATAGTATATATAGTACAAATAGTACATATAGTGTGGAAAAATAGTATATCTGCTATAAAGAATATTCAAATTCCTAATTAGTTAAGTTTTTCAGGTAGAACCTGTACCAAAATTGATCTAAATCTGACAATTTTGGTTGTCCTCCATTGCTTTATTTTTGAAGATGGAAAAAAATAAAAATATATTTGTACTCTACTGAATAAGCTCTAGACAATGACACTACATTCTAGGATAAGAAAGCTAAAAAAAATTAATTATTTGGTTGTGAGTAAACATTTTACACAGATGGTGTTTCTATGTGATCTAAATTTCAAGTAAACCTGTCCGTCGTCTGTCTACGAATAGAGATCTATTAGGTGGATAGATAGACGTACAGACAGACAGCCAGAAAGATAGATATATGTTTAGTCTGTATATAGACTACTCAAAACAAAATAGGGCCCACCATGTTTTATAAATGAATTTTACATATTCTTTTTCTTTTTTCAGTTTTTATGATTAGGAATGAATAAATTAAGGTTTTTGAAAGTATGTGAACATTAACAAGAGTAAGTTTTGCCAATTTTATGGAATTTAGTCAAAATTTACAGCTTTTTTTAAACTTTCCTAAAGTTTACAGAAATTATTGATTTAAGTAAAGTTTGATTTTGATTTTTATTATTGACTAAATCAATGAGTTTGATGGTGCTTAATAACGAGTAGGTCCTCCTCTGTTCCGTATGCACTCTCTGAATCTATCTGGGACACTTTCAATCAAGTGGGTTATGTTTTCCTCGGGTATTCGCTCCCAGCACAATTTTAGGGCGTTTATGAGCTCTTGTCGATTAGTCACATTACTGAAGTTCGATTTGAGGCTTCTTTTCAATTGGTCCCATAAATTTTCAATGGGGTTAAGAAACGATGTGACGTGGTCCGATCACTATCCCTTGGAAGTGGACTGTAAAATTAGCTTAGGTTTCTCGCAGGTCCAGCCCATCCAATCTAAAACTACAAATAGGGTAATTTGGGGGCACAGAGATAGTGAACAGATTAACATTTATACAGAATATTGTAATAATAGATTAAGATTAGTAGATTTTCCTGTAGAGTTAAATAATTGTTGTGATAAATTCTGTGATAAATCTGAACATAAATTAATTATAAATAAATTGTACAAGAATATCATAGGTATATTGCAGGATGCTGCAATTTATAGTCATAAAAATATACAGCGTAACAAAAAGCGACAGATAGTGGGATGGAATAGGCATGTGAGGTCGGCTCACGCCAGAGCTGGTCTTTGTTTTCAGTCATGGGTATGTGTTGGAAAGCCAACGTGTGGGGCAGCATACGAGGATATGAAAGAGTCACGTAAAGCTTTTAAAAGCAAACTCAAGTGGTGCCAGGATAATGAAGAACAAATTAAAATGGATATTCTGGCATCTTCGTGTGAGGCTAAGCAATTTGGTAAGTTCTGGCAGCATACGAACAGACTGAAGGCAAGGTCGAGTCTCTCAGCTCAAGTGGGGGGCGTGAGTGGGTGTCGGAATATAGCGAACTTGTTCAAGTCGCAGTTTGAGGTGGAACCGTGCAAGCTTAATTGCATGTTAAATGACGGTGACGCTGGGGACAGTGTGAATATGGGGGGTAGCCCGCTGCGCTTCACAATCGATGAAGTTAAATCTGCAATTAACAATATGAAGCATGGGAAATCACCAGGTCACGATGGCCTCAGCGTCGAACACCTCAGATATGCGGGTGTGCACCTTCACAGAGTCCTCAAGTTGCTCTACAACCTATGTGTTGGTCATGGTTACTTACCTGATACAATGATGATGACAGTGGTCGTGCCTATACTTAAGAATAGGACGGGCGATGCAGCGGATGAAACCAACTACAGGCCGATATCCTTGGCGACCATCTCGGCTAAGGTTCTGGACAGTCTGCTTGATACACAGTTAAGTAAGGCAGTTAAGTTACATGATGCTCAGTTCGGGTTTAAGCCTGAACTATCAACGGAGAGCGCAATACTGTGTCTCAAGCAGACTGTGCGGTACTATACGGACAGGAAGACTCAGGTTTATGCGTGTTTCCTGGATTTGTCTAAAGCCTTCGACCGAGTGTCTTATAAAATTTTATGGCAAAAATTAAAACGGGAAAGTAGCTTGAGACCAGAGTTGGTTTCACTGTTGGAATATTGGTACGGTAACCAGACTAACACAGTTAGATGGGGTAACACCTTAAGTGATCCCTACAAACTAGGGTGCGGAGTGAGGCAGGGAGGGCTGACAACACCCAGGCTGTTTAATCTTTATGTTAACAGACTGATTGAGAGGCTCAGCAGAGCAGGTGTCGGTTGCTCAATAGACGGTGTACCCATGAATAATTTTAGTTACGCAGACGACATGGTTCTGTTGAGCCCCTCAGTCAGCGGGCTTCGAAAGCTGTTGAAAATTTGTGAAGCATATGCCGAGGAGACTGGACTCAGTTACAACTCAAAAAAGAGTGAATTTATTGTCTTCAGAGGTAAGAATAAACCACTTAACTTCACGCCACGTATCCAGCTATGTGGGATTCCTCTGAGACAAGTGGCTGAGTTTAGGTACCTCGGACATATTGTAACTGAACGCCTGGATGATGACAGTGACATTGAACGAGAGCGCCGAGCGCTGTCGGTCCGGGGCAATATGTTGGCTCGCAGATTTGCACATAGTACGACTCAAGTCAAGCTAACTTTGTTCAAGGCGTATTGTCAATCCTTTTACACGTGCAGTCTGTGGACTGACTATACGCGGCGGGCCTACAGTGCTCTGCGTGTTCAGTACAACAATGTGCTGAGGGTGATGTTGAGGAAGCCTTTACACTGCAGTGCGTCGGCCATGTTTGCGGATGCTCGTGTGGACGACTTCTACGCGATCATGCGCAAGCGTGCCGCGTCCATGATGAGCAGGCTATTGAGGAGCTCCAACACCCTTCTCAGCGCATTGGCTGTGAAGCTGGATTGCCCGCTCTGGAGGGCTTGGAATGGTGCACACACCAGCACGAGGAGAATTCCACCTGGAGTTCGCTATGTGAGGCTGGGGGTAGGTTAAGCTACTAATATAGGATAAGTAATTTTTTGACTAACATTTTAATATTAACTTCTATTTTATTTTATACTAACATTAGGCTAAGTAAGTTTTACTAACAATCTATGACTATTGTTGGTCGAAATAAAGGATTTATTATTATTATTATTATTATTAAGATCGGGACTCATGGCCGGCAACGGTAAAACCGTAATATTGGCTTCAGAGAGCTCTCTGGGTTGTTCGCGCTGTATGTGGGCGAGCATTGTCTTACATAAAGACGAAGTTTTCACCCACTCTATGTGAAAATGGGATGATATGGGGCCGAATTATTTGATCGACATACCGGGAGGCAATTATGGATCCTTCTTTTTTTTATAGGAGAGGGGGCAAACGAGCATGCGGCTCACCTGATGGTAAGTGACTACCGCCGCCCATGAACAACTGCAACACCAGGGAGGGAATTGCAGATGCGTTGCCGGCCTTTTAAAAAGGAGTACAGTATTCTTATTCTTCCAGAATTACCAGCTCAGTTTTACCGAGCAAGCTTATTCCAGGCCACAACATAACATTTGGACCTCCGAAACGATCCGTTTCATATATGCAAGGTTCTGAAAAACGTTCTCCTTCTCTTCTCCACACGCGCACTCGACGATCATCGCTGAAAAACTTCACTTTACTTTCGTCCGTAAAGAGTACATTTTTTCAGATGTCCATTGTCCACTCCGCATGCTCGCGAGCAAACCTCAAACGTGCTACACGATGCGCTCTTGTCAATTTTAGACGAATAACACGAGATCTGGAACGTTGTCCGTCTTCATGGCGCCGATTTCGAATGGTTTGATTACTAATTCGTGTGCCAGTCGATTGCCGCAGTCGATTTTGTAAGACGCGGGCGGGAATTGTACGCTCTTGACGTGCAGTCAATCTGACATACCAGACTTCCTCGACGGTTGTAGCTCGCGCTCTTCCTGATCCAGATCTCCTCGCGACACTACCTGTCCCTAGAAAACGTTCCCACGCGTTTCGAATAGCTCGTCGCGACACACCAAGACGTCTTGCCACTGATCTCTGAGATTCTCCCTCATGAAGCATAAACACTGCTTTTGTTGCTGTTTCCACATCCATATGACGCCGAGAACCAGGCATAATGATCGCGAGTAACACCGAAGTCAAGTCAAAATGAAAAAAGTAGACGTGCGACTGTAACATTCAGAATGTGACTGAAGGTACAAGTGACTGAGAATTTGAGTAATAAACGTTTTTTGGAGTACTTCACTTTTTTTGTCTACTCACCCATTTCGAAGTATTGTTGACATAAATATGTCAACAATACTTCGAAATGTAGAACTTCACTATTTACTACCCAACATTTTTTTTAGAGGAAATTCGAGATTAACTTAGAGTGGGCCCTATTTTGTTTTGAGTAGTTTATATATATATATATATATATATATATATATATATATATATATATATATATATATATATATTTATATGTATGTATATCTGCCGAAGGGTATAAGTCTGTACTCTGTATATAGCCTTCGGAAAGCCTTCGGTACATTGTTTTATATTAATATTTCTGTTATTAAAATGAAGCTATGTACATTGCGTACATCAAAATTACTATCATTTCGATCTTAAGGTAGTTAGCGAATCGGCCAGCGGGTATAGAAGACTAAATGGATATTATTACGCAAAAAGGATTCCATCTACGCAAAGCTACTTTTTATATATTGGGGTTTCAAAGTATGAGCAGTAGAAAGTGTAACTTATGTTGAAAATATTTTGATATATGAAAGTATACAGCAGCTGGCTGGGCGCCATGATGTGCTCGCCGCGCGTCACCGCCTCCGCCTTGTGGCGCTCGCGCGTGGAGTGCGTAACTACGTGCAAATGGTAACATGTATGCAGGCAGGGTGCACTGACTGTGGTAGAGCGTGGTGGGGCGCGTGTGCGCGTCGATGTTGTAGTGGCGCAGCTGGCTGGGCGCCATGATGTGCTCGCCGCGCGTCACCGCCTCCGCCTTGTGGCGCTCGCGCGTGGAGTGCGTAACTACGTGCAAATGGTAACATGTATGCAGGCAGGGTGCACTGACTGTGGTAGAGCGTGGTGGGGCGCGTGTGCGCGTCGATGTTGTAGTGGCGCAGCTGGCTGGGCGCCATGATGTGCTCGCCGCGCGTCACCGCCTCCGCCTTGTGGCGCTCGCGCGTGGAGTGCGTAACTACGTGCAAATGGTAACATGTATGCAGGCAGGGTGCACTGACTGTGGTAGAGCGTGGTGGGGCGCGTGTGCGCGTCGATGTTGTAGTGGCGCAGCTGGCTGGGCGCCATGATGTGCTCGCCGCGCGTCACCGCCTCCGCCTTGTGGCGCTCGCGCGTGGAGTGCGTAACTACGTGCAAATGGTAACATGTATGCAGGCAGGGTGCACTGACTGTGGTAGAGCGTGGTGGGGCGCGTGTGCGCGTCGATGTTGTAGTGGCGCAGCTGGCTGGGCGCCATGATGTGCTCGCCGCGCGTCACCGCCTCCGCCTTGTGGCGCTCGCGCGTGGAGTGCGTAACTACGTGCAAATGGTAACATGTATGCAGGCAGGGTGCACTGACTGTGGTAGAGCGTGGTGGGGCGCGTGTGCGCGTCGATGTTGTAGTGGCGCAGCTGGCTGGGCGCCATGATGTGCTCGCCGCGCGTCACCGCCTCCGCCTTGTGGCGCTCGCGCGTGGAGTGCGTAACTACGTGCAAATGGTAACATGTATGCAGGCAGGGTGCACTGACTGTGGTAGAGCGTGGTGGGGCGCGTGTGCGCGTCGATGTTGTAGTGGCGCAGCTGGCTGGGCGCCATGATGTGCTCGCCGCGCGTCACCGCCTCCGCCTTGTGGCGCTCGCGCGTGGAGTGCGTAACTACGTGCAAATGGTAACATGTATGCAGGCAGGGTGCACTGACTGTGGTAGAGCGTGGTGGGGCGCGTGTGCGCGTCGATGTTGTAGTGGCGCAGCTGGCTGGGCGCCATGATGTGCTCGCCGCGCGTCACCGCCTCCGCCTTGTGGCGCTCGCGCGTGGAGTGCGTAACTACGTGCAAATGGTAACATGTATGCAGGCAGGGTGCACTGACTGTGGTAGAGCGTGGTGGGGCGCGTGTGCGCGTCGATGTTGTAGTGGCGCAGCTGGCTGGGCGCCATGATGTGCTCGCCGCGCGTCACCGCCTCCGCCTTGTGGCGCTCGCGCGTGGAGTGCGTAACTACGTGCAAATGGTAACATGTATGCAGGCAGGGTGCACTGACTGTGGTAGAGCGTGGTGGGGCGCGTGTGCGCGTCGATGTTGTAGTGGCGCAGCTGGCTGGGCGCCATGATGTGCTCGCCGCGCGTCACCGCCTCCGCCTTGTGGCGCTCGCGCGTGGAGTGCGTAACTACGTGCAAATGGTAACATGTATGCAGGCAGGGTGCACTGACTGTGGTAGAGCGTGGTGGGGCGCGTGTGCGCGTCGATGTTGTAGTGGCGCAGCTGGCTGGGCGCCATGATGTGCTCGCCGCGCGTCACCGCCTCCGCCTTGTGGCGCTCGCGCGTGGAGTGCGTAACTACGTGCAAATGGTAACATGTATGCAGGCAGGGTGCACTGACTGTGGTAGAGCGTGGTGGGGCGCGTGTGCGCGTCGATGTTGTAGTGGCGCAGCTGGCTGGGCGCCATGATGTGCTCGCCGCGCGTCACCGCCTCCGCCTTGTGGCGCTCGCGCGTGGAGTGCGGCGCCCGCACGCGCCGCGCGCTGCGCCCGTCCGCGCCGCCGCTGCGCACCTGCCGCACCTGCCACACACACACGCACTCCTTCAACCGAACACTTCTCCACTCCCTATACCTACTATAGATATTTGTTTTAGTGTGTGTAAGAGCCAGGAGCCAGGAGCCAGGAGCGCTCATTAAAGTTAACGACGCTGTTCGGATCACTATCAAGGAGCAAATACAAAGAGGAGGTGCTCTTGACAATTTGTGGGGTGAGGGAGTGTTAAGCCCCGCCCGCTTAACTATTTTCCATCCACCGATAAATAGTAAAACTACTCGCATCGTTATACAACACGTAACATAATTAACGCACATCCTGAAAGTAGTTTGTTCAGAATCGTTTACTGAATCGATTTCTATCATTTTTAATATAGGTAATTTTTTATCCCAAAAATAATTGAAACTACGTAATTTATAGTCACACTAATCCTGTACAGTCAAAACAAACTGAAATGGATCGTAACTCAAGGCAATAAGACTTTTAAAAGTGCAGTTTTATTTGTATTAATACAAATTCCGTCATTCAATAAAAATAAAGAAAATTGAACCTTATTTCAAGTATGTTGAAGTCTTTACAAATAAAGAGTTTTGAGTGCCTTATAAAGGTAAGATCAGCTCATTTGACGCCCCTTGACTTTTTTTTATGGGGACGTATTAAATCATTAGTTTATTTTAGTGTCTGTTGCATAGATTACCTCCTAATAGATTCCGCATACAGGGCCACAAACGCGCGCAACACATACTTGCTGTAGCTAGCATACGAAGCGAAGCTAAGAATCACGACATCAGTATCGACCAAGTTTGTGATCCGTAGGCACGTCCGAGTTCTTGGCAATTTAAAAATAGTTTTGTATCCAAAATACATTACAAATGGCTTCCTGTGCAGTAAAATGGTGTGACAAGTCAGCTAAGACATCCAGTTATCAAAAAGATCGCATAAATTTTAATTGGTAAGTAAATTCTATTCTTATCACGTTAACCTATTTCAAATGCACCGGAGATCAACTTATACTGGTATATTAATGGTGCAAAGTGATAACAATTAAGCACCCGTTGATGTCTTTTTGAAATGTCCCTTTCACTCGTTACGTAAATTACAATAGTTGTCTTTGTCTAACAACAGCACGTGTATCGATAGTGTTGTTATTTTTAAGTCGATATTTGTTTGGTTATCGTTTAATTATTTTTTTCGAAGTCATATTATTTTATAAAAATAGTGACGTATCATTGTGGTACCTATATGTTATAGGTTTCCTAAATGCCCCGAAAGGAAAAAAGATGTGGATCGACGCAAATTGTCGAGGGGACGAATGGTTTCCCACCAAAAATAGTGTACTATGCTCAAAACACTTCACAGAAGACAATCTTCATAATATTATGAAAAATCGTATAAAGCTGTTGGATTCTTGCCAGTTTTGGTATGGACTTTTGCATTTTTTAAAGATTAGTACTAACGTAGATTACACAATAATATCATTAAGTGGTTGAGTGAAACATGATATTCTTTTGCTTTTGCTTTTGCACTCACCATAAATTACTTAGCTAGGCTTATAATTATGCACGCAAAACATTTAATACTTCTTTATCTTCTGTAAAAACACTAGGAAAGTTTGTAGTTTTAACACAATCAATTAAGCTTAATTATAAATAATAATTATAATAAAATAATATATATATATATATATATATATATATATATATATATATATATATATATATATATATATACTAGCTGTGCCCGCGGCGTAGCTCGCGTATACAGGTTTTACATAAAGTATTTGTCGTTTAGGTAAGAGAATATTAAACGATTTATTTCATTACTGTATCAATAAGTGGTAACTAAATAAATCATTATCATCAAAGTTCTAAGTCGTTTATGATAGAGCTTCTGTGTAAACGACGTTAGAAGTAGGCTTAGCCGGGGTGTACACAAAAAGGTTACGGGGGCTACTAACGCGGGAAAAAGCAACATAGAGTTGGCCATGTGCAAAACAGTCAGTACTGAGGTACGCTCCTACAACGTGTAAAGTTTGACCTTGCGCTTTATTTACGGTCATCGCATAACACACGCTCACTATAACTGGGAACTGAACGCGCTTAAAACTGAAAGGAAAGTTACTTCTTAATAGAGGGTTTATGGGCAGTGCTGCCAGATAAAAAAAAACTCATTCAGCTCTAGGACAACATAAAAAGCGCTAGATTTCATGAAAACAGCGCTTTAAAAAAACCCTAGATTTCGCGCTAAATTGACTACAAACAAAGTTTGTGTTTTTTTATATAATCATAATAAAGAAAACAACATTAAGTTTTTTTTCTGGCAATATTTTTTTGATGTATCAATACTTCGCAGGACATCGACTTATAATTATGGAAATTGCTGTCAACAGTAGTTAGTACTGTACGAACAATAAAAATGTCATTAATTGTTTAAAAGTGCAATGTATTTCGCAACTTAGTTTCAGATGTCAGCATCTGATTGCGGTTGCTACACAGTTTCTTTGTGTTATAACTTCTAAGTAACTTTTAACTTAGCTGTGCTCTAAGCAACTGACTGAAACTGAATAAAGCAAAATAAATGCGTTGCCAAAACCATGAACGAAAACTTTAGTAAAGGGGATTTCCCCGCTTATAGTCGTCGGTAAAAAAATCAAGTTGATCATCCTAAAGGGGAAGCCAGGAGATCCATAGCACAGGGTATCCTAGTTTGGACTCGTCTCCCATGCTCTTTGTTTTGTGGAAAAAATATGTTTGAAAAAGATAAACTGCAATGTACTATTTGTGGGAAAAAATAAAAAAGGTCATTATTATTATTATCGGTAATGTGGACTAACAGTGCTGCTATAAAAGAGTTAATAACCCGCTAGTCGCTAAAATATTGAAATGTGTGCTAAATACACCAAAAAGCGCTGGATTAAGCTAGGTGCTAAAATTTCAAAATGCGCGCTATACATACCAAAAAAGCGCTTAATCTAGTTCCCAAAGCGCTAAAATGGCAGTACTGATTTTGCGTATATTATAAATACAATATCACGACATTTCGTTGCAAAATTTTTATTTTTGGTCGGGTTCCGTTGTATGGCTTCGATGGATACAAATTTCTTCAGTAAGTCTCAATACGATTCATCGGCGAAAAATCTCAACACAGCAATTCAGAAAAGTTTGTAATTTGTACAACTCCATCTATTACGTCCTTTGTGTGAGCTGTGAGAAAACATCCTTTTTAAATCTCTTTTTGTGTTTTAAGTATAAATATATTAATTATTATGGAAGGTTTTTTTTACACACAAATCTTTTTATTACTATTTCTGAGATTTTATGGCGCCATTGAACAAATTCGAACCTACATTTCAAAATAATAATCATTACTTTCGATAGAATTAACCAATTTTAATAAAACAAAGATTAAATGTAACTCGAAGATACGCTTTATGATTTTCTTAATGATTTCTTTGAAAATAAAAGATGTTTACTTTAGACGTGATGCGTTCATATAATAACAGACAAATAGACATACAGACAATTCTAAAAATTATAAAATGTTCTTATTTAATTATTTTCAGTTCCCCATAATGATTTTAGCCACCAAAATATATATACAATGTACAGAAAGAGACACAACATGTTATCATCATTTTTATTATATGTATATATTTAAAGAGAGATGGCGCTGCTAACATCAATTCTAAAAATAAAAGAGATTAATTGACGCGATTGATACATTATATAAAACGCAAGAGAACTTATAAATCAGTGCCTGCACAGTAAGCAAAAAAAAAGTTTGACTCTCGCCAAAACCAACGCATTTGTTAATAGCTCTTTTAAAATTTGATTTACCACATAGAGTACTCGGCGGTAAAGAATAAATTGAGTTTGTCAACACGCAGTAGGGCAGCGAGTAATATAATAAAGATTAGCAGTAAATATGAAAACTCATTTACAGGAAAAAACCACATTGCAATTGCATTACATTTTCACAACACCACCATCTATCGAAGAAATGGGTTAACTATTGTGCTTCAGATTTAGTTAATAAGGTTAATATATTTTTGTATAATATATTTAATACGTTCTTTAATACTTTTGTTTACTGCGTTTTAGATATATATAATTATATCATTATTTTACATAATTTAACTATGATTTATGATATGATATTAGTTTAAAATGCACTTGATGACTCAAACAAAACCACCGTTGAGCAAATTCGTACCTATACTTCCCTACCCATACTTCAGAATATTTATCATAACTTTTGATGGAATGAACTGATTTTAATGAAATAAAGACTAAATGTAACACGAAGATACACATTATAATTTCCTTAACAATTCTTATGATATAAATTAGTACTTTATACGTGATACGTTAACAAACAAACAGACAGACAGACAGACAGACAGACAGAAAATTCTAAAAATGGTAGAAATGTATTTAATTACTAATTTTTAGTACCCCTCAATCACTTTTATTACAAAAATATAAAATGTACAGACATCTGCTATTTACAGTTTTATTATATGTATAGATATATATATATATATATATATATATATATATATATATATATATATATATATATATATATATATATATATATATATAATAATAAAAATAATAAATATAAATAAATAAGCAGTTTTGTTAATGATGATATTTTTCATGAAATAAAAAAATCATCAATTCGATCACGAAAGTTGTAATCATGTCATTGATTTAGCTAAGAGAGATCCTAAGAATTCTGTGAGACAATTTTATACTAAGATTATCCATTTTAAAAACCAGTCAAATATATATTTATAAATTAAATGTACAAATATATGTATACAATGTTTAATTTTTTAATAAACATCAAATAAAAATTGATCAATATATTTATTTATCATTATCAATAATCAATAAACCCCAAATTTATCGATCAACGTCCCAACCCTGTTCCATCACTATGTTTTGGTACATTCTAAGTTTGACCTTTAAATATCCAATCACAGCGCATTTGCCACGTCCCCCGCAACCCTTGCATAGGGCCAAAATTGGTGAACTTGAAACAGAACAAATATTCAATGATGCGGTATCTATTAGGAGGTAATCTATGGTCTGTTGTCTACAAATGCCGAGGACCTAAAATAGGATAGTGAACACTTTTAGAATAGTGAAAAATGACACTGAATTGCTTTCTAAATTATTTTCTTTCTTTTTTATAACGTAACCTCCACACTAGAATTTTCTCTTGTATTGTGTGGGCAGTTTACAAACATAAATTGCACAACGACAAACATTTACCGGAACAATTATTTGTAGGCCATACAAATACTTGTTCCGTGTGGGATTCGAACCCGCAACCCTTAGCGCTGCAACTCAATTGCTAAGCCACTACGCTACGGAGGACATTTTGAAAGTGTATTAAAATACAACGTGAGAGTTTAGGCTGTCAGTACGTTAAATATTTGATTCTTAAAATTATTGTGATCGTGATTCACATCTTTTAAACACGACGTCTTTGAATTATGTTGTCGTATTGCCTCTTATTTTTAACAGTTCATTATTATTTACAATTACATTTAAAATGTTATGCAAATTCATAACACTTTGTAACGAATATTGCTTATTGACATTGTATCATAATCAATAAACAAAATTATTCAAAGTCGAAAGTACAAAGCCTGAAATGTGTGATGGAAAGATGCAATCAAATGTTTACTAGCCTTAAATAAACAACTCACCAGTGCTCACAGTACAAAAGTAGCCGCAATTTCGTACTGTGAGCACTGGCTCTTTCAAGGTAAGGTGCTCTCAGTACTCTGATCACGTGATCAAAAAACATAACAGCGCCTACAGATTTAACAGCTTCTACGAATGATTGTTTTTATTAATAATATTGTTATTAAAATAAACTCGGACATTAAGTTTTAAAAGCAACATCATTCAAATAATTATTTTTCTTGTTGAACAGAAAATATGTACATGATAAATATTTTCATTTGAAAACAGTGTCGAAAAATGCGGAAAAATGAGTTCAGATAAGAAGTTGCAAAATGTGGTTTTCAGTAACAACTGTTGATAAATATTTACTTGTTTATTGTTTTTAGTGAAGGTCATCTGGTTACATTAGACGTGCTGCAAAGATAAAGTGATAGTGAGGACCATTAAATAAACGTACCTTCTTCCCCCTGTCGTGCTGTATACGTTCAGTGTCCTGAAGCATCTCACGGCGCCATAGTTCGAAGAAGTAATCGGGGTCGGTGTAGAACTTCCTTGCGTCGCGTCCGTCGTCGCGGAATTCGTTGAGCCGCTCCAACGGCGGCGGGCGGTCGCAACGCGCGTACGTTGCGAGCATCGCCGACGGCATCGAGCCGCGCGAGAATAGCTGCTGCTGGAACGTTCTTGTCGAACGGAACGCTTTGCGCATCTGGATGTCTTGCAGCGACACTGAAAAGGGTTGTTGGAACATGAGTTTGTTGCTTTAATAGAGTATTAAAAAATATTTGGCGACGTCTTGGGTTAGTGGTCACTGATCATAATACCTGATTGCAATGCAGGTCATGAGCAAGAAAAACTGGCCAAATCCAAGTTTATGTCATAAATGCAAATTATTAATATCGGACAGTTATCTCTTTTTATAAAACGTGATTGTCTTCGTTTCTCTAGCACTTCATCCTACCATACCTTAGATTTTATCGCATAACCTTTATTTCAGTAACAGGTTATACTTAGATACTACCTCCTGCGAATTTTATATCTACTTATGATAAAGCAAACAATCGAAAACAAAACCAGTATAAACTAAATCTAGGCGTACTCCGAAACAATACTGGATTGACAACTGGCCGTAAGATACAACCCGATGATAATGAGAAAAGGGCTTATGATAAAATACATAAGCAGGATGTCATGGCAAAGATGTGAAAGATCTAGTACTGCGATTACCAAACAAGTAACAAACCAAGCAGTGTGGTGATGAAGGAAACTCATGTGTCCAGCAGTGGACTTTTATGAGCTGATGATGATAATGACTATGTTATTGTTAATTCACAAAACAGATAACTATAATTTTGCTGCTCTACCTTTTCCACAACCACAACAAATATTGTTCAGGACTTTTAAGTAAAAATAATTAGAATCCTAGGTGCGTGCACTTAGTCAACTAGTATTAGAATACTAAAATTTTGTTTATGTATAAGATGGTTTTCTTAATTGTCCATAATAAAGAAGACAGATTTAAAATTCACTAGGAAGTTCAGACTTCTATACATTTTGCTTTAAAAGCGTTGATTTTTAATTTTCAATGTTCAAGTGACAGTTACTTGTAATTATTTTCTGAAATTCTAATATTGCTTATTATTGCCTGAAAACTTGCATACAACTTAATCCACTTCCAGCAAAGCGTTATCTTCCGATCAACCTTTTTTTTTTCTAATGGTCCAAAATGATGGTTTGCTTATTACTAACAAATAAGCAGACATTTTTATATTTAAATTAGTTTAAAATAGACAGTTTTGCTTGCTCACCTTCTTCGACACCGGAATCCAATTGTGTAACTTTAATCGCTAGCCGGTCTATCCTAGCCTGCAATATGTTTGTCCTCTCTGCCAGGTTTGTGGCCTCCCGAGTCAGCTCTCCGAACATATCCTCTGCATGTTTCGATAGTGATGACAATTGTCTGAAATATTAGGGACCGTTTCTTAATATTGTGCTTAAGGTAACCTTTTCCATGTAATACTTTAACATTGAGTTTGTGTGTAAAATATAAAATAGATTTCAGAAAAACAGATTGCGGAAAAAGGATTAAATATTCTAGATGGCGTAAACTATAAACACTATAAGCATATTATACAGACCAGTATATGCATTTAATAAATTTATCTGCCGACTTCAAAAAGGAGACGGTCCTCAATTCGACTTTGTTTTTTATGTGTTTTACCTCAAAACTTTTTACTGGGTGAACCGATTTCGATGATTCTTTATTTTATTTGAAAGCTGGTACTTCACATGTGGTCCCATATTGATCAAGGTCAGACCAATAATTTTTGAGTTATTAAATAATTTATATTGAAATCGACTGTACAAAGTTTTAAATTTTAAATTATTATATCATAAGTATTGCAATATATTTGTATATATATATATATATATATATATATATATATATATATATATATACTTATTCAATTCAAATTGTAGCTATCATGCTAGTTTGTGTGAACGAAATTAAATAACTAGGTAATTTAGCCGCCCATATAGCTTGCTAGCCTGACGGCTCCGTGGCGCAGTGGCTTAGCAATGAGTTGCTGCGCTGGGGGGCGCGGGTTCGAATCCCGCACGGAACAAGTATTTGTATGGCCTACAAATGATTGTTCCGGGTCTGGATGTTTGTCCTTGTGAAATTTGTGTTTGTAAACTGCCTCCACGATACAGGAGAAAATCCTAGTGTGGGGGTAACGTTTTTTTAAAAGAGAGAAAGAGAGAGAATATAGGTAAAAGCTAATAGGGGTACAACTTTCCATTGACATCCGTCAAGTTGGAGGTTGATATTTTTTTTACAGAAATGTTACATTATTATAAGCACACACGCAAAGTTTCAACATTCGGAGACACGTACTTTTTGAGAAAAAAAATTGAAAATCAACTATTTTTGCAATATTTATGTCAATTGCTATCGTAAAACTGACGCCATTTTGTATTTCTGTAAAAAAAATATCAACCTCCCACTCGACGGACGTCAATGGAAAGCTAGGCCAAAAAGGTTCAGGAGTAGGCCTCGTAATGACAAGCGTAGTATTGGGCGTTTTGAACGTAGGAGGTTTGTAAGTACACCTACAGAGTCGGTCACAGCACTCATAGCCACAGCCTTGCAATCATCTTTATGTTTTTTTATATTTTATAATATAGAATAAGGGTGACAAACAAGCACAAAGTCAACCCGATAGTAAGTGGATGCTGTGGCCCATTGACATGTCCATTTCTCCTCAATTAAGTATCAAAATGCAGATGAGTTGTTACCCCTGAGGACTAAGATGGAATGCCTTGTTTTACACTAGAAAGGGTCTACGGTTCTCTACACTAACTATACAAAACACAGCAGCAATAATCTTTTATATTAAGCTGGTATTCTGTGAGAGCATGGTGCTACCCTGGGCGAGCAGACCCATTCGTGCTACAACCGTAACATAGCTGCAGCGTGGCTCTGCCACGTTCAAACGTACGTACTAAAATACCCTGTTGTACATACGAACCTGACAGTGTTTGCGAGGGTACCGTTGGTGACGGCCTCGAGCTCCGACGGCACCGCGAGCCGCTCGGGCACGGTGCCGCGCGACACGTGCACCGGCTCCACGCAGCGCTTCGGCAGCGGCATCGCTGCGGCGCCGCCGGCTATCTACACTGCATCACTGCGGACAACCACATACCCTCATTACTAAACAACGACCTAAAGTAGGGTTACCAGATGGAAAATTAAAAAGTCCTGTCTAATAACCTGATTTTAATTGAAAAGTCCTGACATATTGTTGCAAAAATACTTAACTACTGTGGATCACTACTCACGCGATCAATTCATGTCGTAGATTTCATCCCTCCCACATAAAATATCTACTGTATTTTATTGAAAAAGTCTCAAATTTGACCGTAATCCTGAATGAACATTTCAAAAGTCCTGACTTGTCAAGACAAATCCTGACATATGGTATTTCTATCCTAAAGTCACGCTGCAGTTATATTATGATTGTAACATAATGGGAATTCAGGAAGGAATCCAAGAAAGGACCGAATACATTTCGCGCGCAATTATCAAAAACAGACGTTAACAGGTAAAATAATATAAATTGTAAACAAATTTTACAAAAATATTACCTTTTCAAGGCTAAGCTGTATTTAAGAGGATGTACGGGTGACGTCTAGTTTATACAAACGTATTCCCTTTTTTTCTACCTTGGCAATGACACTAGAGCAAAATTTTTTTAAGATACAACCTATATCCACCACTGCCGCCACGTTTACTATATTTTGTTTTTTCTGCTGTTTATTTTAAAATTACAATAATTAACCAGTTACCCATTATTAGATGACAGCAATGTAATTGTAAAGTTAAAAACCTATTCATCCAATTTCTTGAAGCCCGGATATCCTCTTAATGGTTTAAAAAATAAAATTTAGCTAGCATTATATTACATTCGTTCACCTTCGGTTTTATTGCAGTAAATTTACTCATAATCCACTTTGTGATAGAGTAGATAATACGTGACCGTGTTTACAAGTAGATGTCGGTGTGTCCACAATATAATCTGGGCACGATTTCGCTCGCGGGCATACTTTGAAATGAGATTATTGAATTAATTTACTCTTGTTACGCGATACAACTTACTTTTTAATCTTTAAACACTGGCAATAAAGAAAAAAATCAGTAAAAAGAAAAATTATATTTTTTTTAACTCCAAGCACAAGGGTCTCGTTGACGACTGCATCCGGACAGCGGACTCACGACAACTATCGCTAATCGCGCCATAGCATAACGAAAGCAAAATTAAAGGTTAGAAATATACTTAGATTGCTACTTTCCGGGTTTTCACCGCTTTTCGCCGGCGGTTCCTCGTTGTTAATACTTAATTATTCTCATCTACTGACTTGAACGGCGCGGCGGCTTGCAAGCCGTCATGCGTGAAGCTACGCCGTGGAATTATGAATTGGGTTTTCGTTTCGATATCAAGTTTTCACTTACGATAAGTGCTCTATCATTGAAGTCGGCCACTGTGAATACTTTTTTATGTGTATTTGTAAAGTGTTCTCCGATGAAGTATCTCAATGAAGATGATTGTCACGCCTGAGGACTAAGATGGAATGCCTCATTAGTAGAAAAAAAGGTATCTGAATCTCGACTCTAACCGAATACGAACCACAGCAGCATTAATTTTGCTGCTTTACATGACATGCATGATATTACTTAGAGCCCATCCAATAGTGCTGCAGCCATAATATAGCGTGGATGTATTTAGTAATTATTATGTTGATATGGTAAATTTAATTAATAAATATTTAGATAATACATATCTATATACATATACGTCGCCGTAACCGTGTAGTGGCGGTGTAAGAAAATCCACTACCCCATATAATCCCGAGGATATCGTAAGGGAAAATGAAACAGGAAATGGGCAGCAGCATTTCGAGATAACAACTCAAAATAATAAAAAAACTACGGTTGCCAACCCGCTTGCCAAGTGTGGCAACTATGGCAAAATCCCTTCATGAGGCAATCTATGAGGGAGGCATAAGTTCAGCAGTGGACTTGTGAAAGGCTGTAATGATGATGATGTTATTATTTACTGATGATTGAAAATTCAGCACAGTATTAATTACTATTATTGCACAGACATATTTTACGTCACAACCTACTATAAAATGTTTTTGTACGCATCATTACACACAACTGATGTCGAAAATTTAAGTTATAGTCAGTATAGTTAGTTTTAAAATTAAAAACATTTTTACGTGGTAGAGCCATGCTGCAGCTATATTAGTAGTATAGTTGTAGCACGAATGGGTCGACTCGACCGGGGAAGGACTACGCTCACACACAATACCACCGTAAAATAGCAGCTTAATCCTGCAGTGTTTCGCATGGTGAGTGTAGAGAACCGGAGACCCTTTTTACTTTAAAAGAGGCATTCCATCTTAGTTCTCACGGATGACAACGCATCTGCATTTTGATTCGCAAACAAGGATAAATGTAGGTGTCTATGGGCCACAGCAACCTCTTACCATCAGGTGGACTGTGTACTCATTTTTCACCCTATCCTATAAAAAAAAATTCATCATAGAAGTCGCCTGCATATTTAAATTGATAAAATACGTTATATGTTATGTGATACGTTTCATTTTTAACTGAAATTATTCTAAAACTTTAAACGAAATTAATGAGTTCAATAAACGGTAATATTTGAAAGGAAGACTACGACAACTTTTTCACCTAATGTCTCTTATCTGGACGTGGTGGACCCTGCTGCATGATGGATGAGACTCTGACGACCGAATGATAGCGAAGAGTTCATCATTATTTATGATTTTGACAATGAGTGTAACTTCGTCTTAAAAGTTCAGAGAGCTTTAAGAGCCATTACGTATTTAGATATAACATTTCTAACGCAATGCAATCAATTAACGAAAATGTTAACATTTTATTAAGATGTGATATCTTGAAAGTGTTTGCATATGAATTGGCAATATAAATGAAAGCGAGTTGAGAATAAATTTGAAGAAAATTCATTAACACGTACTTGTTACTCGTTTATTAACATTTTAGAGTTTCATAACTCATAATGGAAAACGGTACCATTATAGAATAGGATCCCTTTGTTTACCGTCTACTGTCCCGTGTGTCCTGCCTTTTTCTCAGATTAGACTTATATCTATAGCTTAGTAGCAACATGTATTGCTGAGTGCATTGCAACTTGTATTGATAATATTTTTAAAAGTATTAAGCCAATCCATAAATTAATAATTCAGAAGGTAAGTTCAGATCACTGTGTCAGCTGATGTCATTAGTCCACGAAAACAGGAAAATTAGTTACATGTGTTAGTTCTAATTTATGCGTGTTTATTCTAATTCATGTAAATCATCCGAAGAGGTTCAAAGTAATATAGTAAATAAAGCTACCATCACTTTCTACAAACAAAGCTGCATCGTCATTATTACAGCTACATCTGTTTGTGTGGACAGTTTAAATGAAGAAACAATATTCTCTGGAGATATTTTATTTATTGTATTAATTTATTGAATCATTAAACTTAATTTAGCGTTTTAAGTTTTTTTTTTAATATAATAAGGGTGACAAACGTAGTGGTTGTTGTGACCCATAAACATCTATCCTCAATAAATACATAATCAAAATGCATATGCGTTATCACCCGTAAGGACTAAGACAGAATACTTCTTTTCCAGTAAAAAGGGTATCCGATTCCTTCCCCGATCGAGCCGACCCATTCGTGCTACAACTATGTTCTACTAATATAGCTGCAGCATGACTCTACCACGTATAAGGATAAATAAAATTTACCGATTTACCGCAAATTTATTGTATTTTGACGGTAACTATACCGCTTCATAATACTTGCATGCCCGATTTTAGGATAAAAGCATTTACAATACGCAAATTTGCAGTTTTTATACTAAATGGAAGATGTGCCCATAGTCACATCGGCCAGGAAGATCCAATTTTTACCCATTTTGAACATTTTGTAGTAAAAATAAATGTTATACTGTCCAAATTACGGCTGAATATGATAAACCATCCACGTCCACCAAAATACACTCAATTTTTTTTTTCAATCACTCAAAAGTTTCAAATGCGCGCCTGCAATGCGACAAACTACATAATATCAGTATCACTATATCACACATTACATCGTTGACGTAGGGCTACCACGTTACAATCATAATTAAACTACAACAATATTTTGTCTTATACAGTAATTCCATTCTTGGGGGCGCTTTTACAACAAAATCCCAGAAAATATACAAAATATGACCTGCTCAATATTCAGAAACTTTATTAAACAAAGTTTGTATAAAAAGGGTAATTATAATATTAAGAAATTTATGGATGATAATAATAACCCCTGGGAATGAGGTGATCGCTACCAAGCTATTTCTAATTTTATTTGTGTTGTTAATTGTGTAACATACACGAGCTGTTATTTTAAAATAAAAAAGGTCCCGCTGGATTTCTTGTTGATTCTTCCCAGGACAGAGGTTTTTTCCGAACCAGTGGCAATAAAACAAAGTGACTTTCAATAAGTATTATTTATAATCTATATTGAATATAAAAAAATTCTGTTTCTATTAAACATTTTATTAAAATTAAATATGGAAGTTAAACTTACCACATTTTAAACAATAAAGAAGGTATGTATATGGCACCATGGACAAGCAAATAAATTTATTAAATATTTCATTTAATGTAAACCAATTTCTATTTCCAAAATTAGTCATTAAACTAAACAAAAGTATTGCAGGTGGTATAAACTTCTTTATCTAAAGTTTACAATGAAACACATTACCCTAACTGCACACAACGACCGTCATAATATGGAATATGGAATATTACATAATCGCGGATAAGTTATTTCTGTACACTGCATTAAAATTGTCTCATCCTGCTTTTGATAATATTGGTCCAACGCTGTTGTTTTTATTATTTATAAATATATTGCCTATTTAGACAACAATAACCTCAGTCAACAGAGGCCTAGTGTTCAAATTTAATAACTAATACTGAAAAAATAAAAACATAGGGACACAGTGCATATCTTTCTTATTCAGTTAATGAAATATCTTTTAAATTGATTCAATATTGGAGGAGG